ATTTTCAGGGCGACTCCTTCTTAGTTCTGGCGTTGAGGAAATTGGGAAAGAAACCGGCTCAGTCTTCGTTCGAGGGGGAGGTTTGAAAGAAGGACAAGAGCGAACGACGAGGAGGAGGAGGAGGAGGAGGAGGAGGAGGGAGCGTTATCCAGGTGCGAGAGTAAACAAAAAAGAACACACACACACACACACACACACACACACACAGAGAGAGAGAGAGAGAGAGAGAGAGAGAGAGAGAGAGAGAGAGAGAGAGAGAGAGAGAGATGCCTGCATATGCGAAAAGTATCGACGTTACGTAGCAGAGAGGAAAACCGACACCGTATGGGTACTTGGTGAAATGGCTTCCGGATAAGAGACTGTTTTTTTTCGGTTTTTTTTTCCCTCCTCCTTTCTCTCCTCTCCATTTGTCTCTCTTCCCTGTTTCCGTCTCTCAGACTCTCTCTTCCCTATTTCCTTTCAACTGCTGCCTTACGTCACAAACCCGATCCTGCCGGTCTTCGCTCTCATTTTCGAATCTTTTTTTTTTTTTTTTTTTTTTTTCTCTCTATCACCCTTCGTCTGTCTACGATCTAAGCTATCGACCTTCCCTTTATAATTTTCAAAGAGCAGTTGTTAAACGGTCATTCTCTCTCTCTCTCTCTCTCTCTCTCTCTCTCTCTCTCTCTCTCTCTCTCTCCCCCTCTCTCTCCACATACGCGCACCTCTCCGCCTCCTGCGCTTAGCAGCAGCTGCAGAACGTCTTAACCTACTGCTCTTCTCTGTCGCGATCCCCTCAGCGTCTCCGTACTTGTCTTTGGTTGGGTCTTTGCTTCGCGCACATCGGTGGGCAAAGACCCCACGCCGGCGTTTTTCCATTCGATGTCATGCTGGGACGAGACTGCTGGTGATGCCACTTGTCGGGCGTCGTGTGCGACACGAGTCCGGCGAAGGTCCTCGTCATGTCGCACAGCACTACCATCATCACTTCCACGTTGATGCGCACCCCCATCACCCACCACCCACCACCTCCACCTCCACCCACCTCCCTCATGGCTACCTTCTCCTCCATGACGACAACTCGCAGTTTGCGAACGCATCCATCAGAAAAACCGAACGCCGATGTCCTCACAACACATTCCCATATTGATGAACGTGTGCATGGCGCCGCACTGCGACAGCCATGATGATTCTGATCGTCGTCTCTGGCTTGGATCCCATCTCCCTTTCTTCTTGACGTCATCTTCTTATCCATTATCACCGTGACCCTCCACTCCACCATCTCTCCCAGATTCTCTCAGCATTTCGTCATTCCCATCGCCATCCTCAAGTCTTCATTCCCATCGCCATCGCCATCGCCGAGCTAGCTTTTCTGCTTTCACTGTCA